GATTTTAATGCGACTGTATCGGTGGAAGAGAAAAATACAAGGGGTAGAAGAACAGGGTTGATGAATTTGTTTGCTGACTTTATCAACAATATGGAGCTAATGGATGTCCCTATTCAGGGTAACAGATCCACCTGGACCAATAATCAAGTAAACCCCACCCTGGTGAGTCTGGATAGATTTTTGGTTTCCTCAAATTGGGATGATTTCTTTCTTGATTTTAGGCAGGTCACCCTCCCTAGACCGGTTTCTGACCACAGYCCTATTCAGCTTGTTTGTGGTCATTGTGAGAAAATCAATGCGCCTTTTGAACTTGAAAAATGCCTGGTTTAAGGAGGACAAGCTTATTCCCTTGATCAATTCTGTGTGGAATGAGTTTCAGGTGGAGGGTTCTAGCTCTTTTATTTTCGGAAAAAAATTAAGTGCCATCAAGGGAAAGTTAAAAATTTGGAGTATGGAGAATAAAATGAAATTGGGTACTGAAAAGAAAGCTTTATTGAGCACCATTGATGAGATTGACAGAGCTGAAGAGGTGGGTCCCTTAACTGAAGAGTTGAGATTAAAAAGAACTAATGCAAAAATCAGTTATGACAAGTTGGCTGTAAAGGAAGAGATGAAGTGGAGACAAAGAGCCAAAACCACTTGGCTAAAGGAGAGTGATAAAAATACGAAGTTTTTCCACAAAATGGCAAATGCCCGTGCAAGAGCTTCTTCAATCAACAAGTTGGTGTGGGAGGATAGGAGTGGAGAATCATGTTCAGAGATTAAGTCAGTAGCAGCCTTCTTCTATAAAAAACTCTATAAAGAGAGCTGGACGCATAGGCCATTTCCCTCTGATCTTCCTTTCAAGCAGTTGAATGAAGATCAGAAACTTTGGCTTGAGAAACCCTTTACAGAAGAGGAAATAAAGGCAGCAGTCAAGAAGTTAGAATGTGATAAATCGCCTGGGCTGAATGGGGTTACAAACCTTTTTTATTTAAAATGCTGGGATATTGTGAAGAAAGACCTGTTGAAGGTGTTCCAGGCATTTCATACAATTGCATCACTGCAAAGAAGTTTGAATGCTACATTTATTACGGCAGTTTCTACAAAAATCTTGGCTAAAGTCTTGGCAGAAAGAATGAGAGGTGTGTTAGGCAGTGTTATTTCTAGTAACCAAAGTGCATTTGTTCCAGGAAGACAAATGGTTGATTCAATACTCATTGCAAATGAACTGCTAGACTCTAGAAGAAGAGAGGGAAGCCCAGGTTTAATTTGTAAACTTGATATTGAGAAATCATATGATCATGTTAACTGGCATTGCCTGGACCTGGTATTGGAGAAAATGAATTTTAGGCAGAAATGGAGAAACCGAATCAGAGTATGCGTTAAGACCCCAAAATTTTCTATCCTAATTGATGGCCAATCGACAGGGTTTTTCGGTAGTTCTAGATGTTTGAGGCAGGGAGACCCACTTTCCCCCTAATCTGTGTATAGATTATTTCCTTTTATGTGCCAAAATGGTTGGATATGGTATAGCAAATTCAAAAGAAAGTCACGACCCTCTCGAGAGAAAAAAACTTGCCATGCAAGGCTTCTCAGACTCCCAGTATCAGTCGAAGTCTCAAGCCCCAGCTCCCACGTTCTTCTTGGATCAACAAGTCCAGGCCATCTCTCAATCGATCAGCCACCTTCGACATTCTATCAGAGGCCATCTCTTAGTCGGACGACCAACAAGCTTTCAGCAATCAGCATCAGGTATTTCAGTATTTGTTTCTTCTTTTTTTACACTGAAAACAGGGGTTCCGCCCGCCCCCTTCTTCTTCTTCTCCTTCTTCTTCTTCTTCTTCTCCTCCTTCAGTTCTTCTTGTTCACAGAAAAACAGGGGCTCCGCCCACTCTTGTTTTTTCGTTGTCTTTTTTCTAAAAACATTTTTACAGTAAAACAGGGGCTCCGCCCCCTTCTTCTTCTTGTGAAATGTTTTTACAGTAAAACAGGGGCTCCGGCCCCTTCTTCTTCTTCTTCTTCTTCTTCTTCTTCTTCTTCTCTTTTTACACTGAAAACAGGGGTTCCGCCCACCCCCTTCTTCTTCTTCTTTTCTTCTCCTTCTTCTTCTTCTCCTCCTCCTTCTTCAGTTCTTCTTCTTGTTCACAGAAAAACAGGGGCTCCGCCCACTCTTGTTACTTGTTTTTTTATTTCATTGTCTTTCTTCTGAAATGGTTTTACAGTAAAACAGGGGCTCTGCCCCCTTCTCTTCTGAAATATTTTTACAGTAAAACAGGGGCTCCGCCCCCTTCTTCTTCTTCTTCTTACACAGAAAACAGGGGTTCCGCCCGCCCCCTTCTTCTTCTTTTCTTCTTCTTCTCCATCTCCTTCTTCTTCTCCTCCTCCTTCAGTTCTTCTTCTTGTTCACAGAAAAATAGGAGCTAATAATTAAGTAATTAATTTGTTTTTTGATATTTTCCTGATTTTTTTTAGAATTTCTACATGTTTTTTTTTTCTATTTTTTTAGTTTTTTTTTTAAATTTTGTGCGCCTTTTTTAAAAAGGCGTGCGCCTCGCCTTGTGTCTTGCGCCTCAGGCGCATTTGGAACCTATCGTTTTTTGTGCGCCTTTCGCTTTTAAAACACTGGATCATCCTAGTGGGTCTTGTTCCAAACTTAGAAGAATGTGCAGAAGTGATGGCTTGCCAAACTGCTTTCTCCTGGTCAATTATTTGGGGCTACCTCTTGGGGCTAAATATTCTTCTTCTGCGACTTGGGTTTCAATTATTGAGAGAATGGAGAGAAAATTGGCTTTTTGGAAGGCAAAATATCTCTCTTTTGGGGGCAGAGTGACACTGATAACTGATTAAGAGTACTCTTTCCAATCTTCCTATTTACTTCCTCTCTCTATTTCCCATCCCAATCAAGCGGGTATTCCCTTAAATACCATTTGCTTGAAAAGCTTTGAAGCTATGGTGGAAGCAATTGAGCAATTTGGGAGGTGAAAGAGTATGCTGCTCTGTTGGGTTTGCTTCAAAATCAGATGATTGATTTAAGTCTGGAGGACGAATGGAGCTGGAAATGGAATGCAGATGGTTATTTCTCTGTTAAATCTATGTTTCTCAAGTTGGTTAGTTCAGGTCAGGAGAATTTTCCTGCCAGGCAGATTTGGAATTCAACTAGCCCCTCAAAGGTTAATTTTCTGGTTTGGACAATGGTTCTAGACAAATGTCTAACTAGAGTTAATCTGGAGAGACGTGGAATTCAGATTCTGGATATTTTGTGTGGCTTGTGTGGTACTCTTGCAGAAACTACTGAGCACTTGTGTATCCATTGCCCAATTTCTTCTTATGTCTGGGGGCACTTTCTTAAGGCCTTGGAAATTAGTTGGGTAATGCCAAATTCAGTGAAGGAGCTGCTGAACTGTTGGAGTATTGAGGGCCTCAGCAAGAAAGGAAAGTTGGTTTGGAACACCACTCCGGCAGCTGTGCTTTGGTCTATTTGGACTGAGAGAAATAACAGAATTTTCTGTCATAAAGCTAAAAGCCCAGATGAAATAGTGTAGAGAGCTGTGGGCAAGTTATTGTCTTGGGTGTCGGTGACGGAGGAATTTAAACATAAGAATTTGCGTCTTTTATTTTGTTCTCAGTCTTGGATGAGATTGTAGTCTGAGGTGGTCCCGGGCAGCCTTTAATAGCCTGGGCTTTATTGTAAAATTTTCTTTGATGAATAAATTACCTTACCTTTTACCAAAAAAAAAAAAAAATACCTACCTGGGAGATTGACATTGTCCAAGTGCCACTGGAGAGTAGAGTCAACTGTTAGAGATGGTGGGGGAAAGAAGGAGATTAACAAACAATCAGTCTAGGGTTTTGATCAGTAGACCCTAAACAGTTTAACGGATCATTAATATAGTCATTTTCATAATGAAAATGAAAAAAGTGAAAAATAAAATGCATACCTGAGAGTTATACTGTCGTCCAAGTGGTTCAAGAGTAGACTTAGCCGTAGTAGAGGGTGGGGGGAAGAAATGAGGAAAAAATGATGGGTCTTTGGGGTTTTGATCAATAGATGTTTTGTTTGTGTAAATTTACTATTTCACCCCTGCTCTCACGTGTAAATATGACGTATGTGTTTGGTTTTTAAAGGGAGGACATAGCGAGAATTAGCACTCCAATGAATCTCAATTGTTTGGAGCAAAATTTTTTCACTCTTGAGAAACGCCTACTCTGCCCATATTTTCACTTCAGATTGGAAATAAAAACGAATTGAAAGTTGCCAAGTGCATTTCTCATCTGGAAGACCGATAGAATCAGAAAGAATCGATCCTCCAGAGTGATGCCAAACAGGGCCTTACAAATTTGATGTAGTAATCTCACACTTTTTTAAAGATTATATTTGCTTTCAGTGAGAGAATCATCTGACTCGTAAGGCAGAACTAAGTCATAATGCATATGTTCTCTTTGCATTAACACCTTTGTATGATTTAATACTGTAGAGAACACTGGTGTGGGCCCCACAGCTGTGGTCCCACTCTGTCCGTAGGGTAGAATGTGCCCTAGTCATCCTAGGGTTAGCTGATGGTCAATCTGTTATTCCAGTTGTTATTTATATTTCAGTTTTATATTGTTTTATGTGTTATGTAAATACCAAGG